GGCCTGTCCGGGCTTGCAGCAGGCAGATCACACCCGTCAGTGTACTGATCAGAACCTGGAAGCACAGTGAAGCCACAATGCCTCTGGGAGACTCAGTAAGGACTGTAAAGGCTGGGCCACAGCACCATTCACTCCACCTGGCCTTATGATTGTCAGACTCTTCTCACCTCCCTAATTATATAAATATCTGTTCTTTTCTTGGGGAAGAGCAAAATGAAAATGAAGAGAGAGAAATAAATAAATACAGTGCCTCTGAAAGAGTGGAGCAGAAGTCCTCTTCATTATTAAAATGTTGAAGAGCAGAGGTTTAAACCCCCCACCCCCACCACCACCATACCTGTAATAGTTGGAAAAACAGATAATCCGTTGCTGTTGAATCACTTCTGACTCATGATGACCCCACGTATTACAGAGTAGAACTCCTCCATAGGGTTTTCTTGGCTGTAATCTTTACAGAAACAGATTGCCAGGCCTTTTAAACTGCCAACCTTTAGGTGAGTAGTCAAGCACAAACCATTTGTGCCACCCAGGGACGTTGGAGAAACAGATAAAAACCAAAAAACCAAATCCATTGCCATTGTCGATTCCAACTCATAGCGACCCTACAGGACAGAGTAGAACTGTCCTATAGGGTTTCCAAGGCTGTAAATCTTTATGGAAGCAGACTGCCCGAGCTTTCTCCCACGGAGCGGCTGGTGGATTTGACTGCCAACTTTTCAGTTAACAGCTGAGCACTTTAACCACTGAGCCACCAGGGCTCCTTGGAGAAACAGATAGACACTATTATTTTGGATGTGACTCCATCTTTTCATCTGTATTTTGTTTTATCAAACAATAGTGATTGCAAAGTCCAATTATGCATACAATTCATCTTGGAGACAGCTTTTCAAGGTTTAGAGTAAGAGACTACCAGTTGCTGTCTATAGAGTAAGGAGTCCTGGTGGTGCAGTGATTAAAGCTCTTGGCTGCTAACCAAAAGGCCTCAAGAAAAGATGTGGTAGTCCACTTCTGTAAAGATTAAAACCAAAAAAAACTAAACTTGTTGCTCTCAAGTCGATTCCGACTCATAGCGACCCTATAGGACAGCGTAGAACTGCCTCATAGGGTTTCGAAGGAGTGGCTGGTAGATTCAAACTGCTGACCTTTTGGTTAGCAGCCAAGCTCTTAACCATTGCACCACCAGGGCTCCTCTGTAAAGATTACAACCTAGGAAATCCTATTGGGCAGTTCTACTCTGTCCTATAGAGCCTCTGTGAGTTAGAATCGACTAGACGGCAATGGGTCTGAATGGGTCTATAGAACCCAAAATATTTACCCTGAGGATAGTAGTGAGCAAAGAAAGGTTAACTGTTTGTAAATTAACCTCTTTTGTTTTAAATAGATAATGCTGAGTCTAAGGGGAGAAATATGTTTCCCCTAGATTTCTACTCACAACATCTAAACCAAAAAAAAAAAACAAAACAACAAAAAAACAACAAACCCTTTGCCGTGGAGTCAATTCCGACTCACAGCAACCTTATAGGACAAAGAAGAACTGCCCCATAGGGTTTCCAAGGAGCAGCTGGTGGATTTGAACTGGCAACCTTTTGGTTAGCAGCCAAGCTCTGCACCACCAGGGCTCCCCACAACACCTAGCTCTATTTAATGATACATGTAGAGAAAGATTTTCCATTTAAATTGACATGCTGTTTCTACAAGGATAACCCATAAACACAAACCCCCCCCAAAAAATACTCCCATTTCACAATGATTCCAAGGGGGCTTTCAGCAGCCCTGCACCAATTCTAGGGCTCATGTCTTCAATAACAATATCTACCACAGGGTACATGAAATGAAGAGTGCATAAAATAGTAACTGAACAGGTACTGCCCTGGCAAGAAGGATATAAGTTGTCAAAGAGTAAAATTCCTGAGCCTGTTAAAAGTAAAAGCAAAAGCGTTTTATTGAAGGAATATAGTGATGGGAATCTGGCAGCACTTAAGCAAAATTGCAAAGTGCTCCAACTCATTGGAAAAGTTACAAGCCTATTATACAATAAAGTGGAGTAGGGAGTATATGACTATAATCACGGAGGCGCAGGTTTACACATGGCTACAGGACAATAGCAAGTTAAAATCTTACAAGATTTTAGCTGATCTATTTTCTAACAAACTTTCTACCTACACGTTTTTCCTGAAATAGGCTCTGCAAACATTCTCCCAGGACAACCTTGAGAAATATTTACTGACAAACAGTTCTTCAGAAACCATATTCTCTTCCATTGTTTGCTGAGGGTGGTTAAAGAGTCACAAGAAGCTACATGTCATAGTTTCTAAGAAGGCAGAAAAGGAGGACTTAGAATGAAGTCTCATTAAAAAACGGAGCTATGATTCAGACCTACGTCAGTCATTTTTAATCATGCCAAGCACCTCAGTTTTAGAGTACCCTCACACTAAGTATAGCGGTAGAGGACAACTAACATAACAGGTAATTATATCAAGCAGCACAGAATAGATCACTATACAGAGAAAAAGGCAGCAGTCCCCTAGAATTTGGTAGAGATCAAAGTGGTTGGCTAATCCTATCCTGACCTTAAATCTTCAACATGAGGAAATGGAGTTTTTGAATGCCAAGTTTTCTTAAAAAACACACTGGACAATCCAGCAAGAAAATGGGCAAAAGATTTGAACAGACACTTCACAAAAGAAGATACACAAATGGCCTGTAAACACATGAAAAGACAGTTAATATCATTAGTCATCAGGGAAATACAGCTTAAAACCACAATGAGATGGCACTACATACTTGTTAGAAATACTAGAATTTTAAAAACTTACTATGCCAAGTGTAAATGAGAATGTAAAGCAACTGTGACACTCATATACCACTGGTGAGAAAGCAAAATGGCACAGTAATTTTGGAAAGCCGTTTAGCAGTTTCTTAAAAAGATAAATATAAAATAACCATAAGTTAGTTTATATTTCAACTCTATCCAAGAAACTATATCCAAGAAAATGAAAACATATGTCCATGTGTAAAGACTTGTATATAAATGCTCATAGCAGTTTTGTTTATAATGGTAAAAAATTGGAAATGCTCCAAATGCCCATTAATAGGTGAATAGATAAATTGTGGTACATTCATACAGTGGAATACTACTCAGCAATAAAAAAGAATGGACTATTGACATTCCCCCAAAACATGGTTGAATATTAAAATAATTAGCTGAGTGAAGAAGTCCAGAAAATATTAACAAATCTATAAGGAGAGAAAGCAGATTAGTGGTTCTCCAGGGAGGGAGCATAAGGAAACTTTTGAGGCTGATGGGAATGTTTACTATCCTGACTGTGGTGTATACTTATGTTAAGGCTGATCAAATTGTACTCTTTAAATGTGTGTGGTTTGTTGTACTTCAGTTATACCTTGATAAAGTTGGAAAAAAAAAAAAAAACACATTGAGAAACCTAACCCTTTAGAATCTTTAGATTTAGGTCCTCTCCTGGCCCCATTCCAGGCAAGGAATCACATAGGAGCAAGAAATCTACTGTGTTTGGAAAATTGTATCATGAACCTTAGGCAATCTACCATTAACTAAAACTATAACTGACAGCTGAAAAACCTGACCTTGTCTGATAAAATGCTTATAGTTAGATCTTGGTGGCAGGAGTTATTTATTCAGATATGGCTTACACAACCACAGAAGATAAGTTGTCCTATATTATTTTAAGAGACCATGGATCGAGTCTTCATTGCGTGCATCAAACCCTTAGCTGCAAGAAGTGAGGTCAGTAGTCATCAGAGAGACAGTTTCTGAATTTCCTCAAGCAACAGAAGACAAAGAGAATTCACATTTACTGACCACTCCCTATGTGCCAGATTTTTACATACATTGTAATATTAAAGACTATGTTACTTTTCATTTATTCATTCACTTGACCTCAAAACAACCATTTATTTATTTTTACGAAAAACAGAGGCTCAGAGCACTTAGGTAACCTTCCCAAAGTCCTACAAGCAAGTGGGAGAGTCTGAACTGGAGATTTTATTTGACTCCAACCCTCACGTATTAAAATCATATTCAGTTTTGATGACTGTAAGTTCACGGGCCCGATTTGTCACAGCCTCTTTAAAGCAAAAACAAACACAATGCAACAAACTTTAGACATATTTGTTAATCATATTAGCTTACATGGCCACCTCGCTGATACTTTAATTTACACCCTTCTCCACTCCGCCCCAACCCCATCAACGTAAGTCTTCTAGGGTCTAAACCAAACCAAACCAAACCAAACCCTTTGCCGTGGAGTCATTCTGCTCACACCGATCCTATAGGACAAAGCAGAACTGCCCCACAGACTTTCCAAGGAGCGACTAGTAGATTCCAACTGCCGACCTTTTTGGTTAGCAGCCGTGGCACGCCATAGCTCTTAGCCACTGCACCACTAGGGGTCCTTCCAGTGTCTGGTGTTAGCAATTCTGTTAACAGTTTATCAGGAAAACTGGCTGGTCTCAGAGCAAAATTAGAAAATTTGAATTTGTTCTGTAGGCCTGACTATGACTCCCTCAAGCAAAAACGAGGGGGTTAAGATTTCAATCCTTCACTTCCGGCCTCCACTTGGCAGGCGAGGCATCCAGCACGTGAGCCCCACACGGTTCCCAGCCGGCACACAACTCCGGGCAACCGGCAGGTCGGCCGCCACCGCGCAGGCGCGAGGACTACGGCAGCTGGGGACAGTCGGCCCGCGGTTGCCTGGAGATCGGGCGGAAGCGGCCGGAAGTTGCGCTGCAGTTGGCCAGAGTAGGATGGAGAAGCTGGGGGTGGAGCCCGAGGAGGAAGGTGGCCGTGAAGAGGAAGTGGCCGTGGTCCGAAGCATGGAGTCGGCAGACGCGGAGGCGGCTGGCGGCTCGGAGGGTGCGCCGAGCACTGAAGAGGGCAGCGGCCTTCCTGGGTGTAAATGGGAGGGGCTGGGTGGGCGGTGGCCGTTGGGGCGCGACCGTCCCCTCCCCCTTCAGCTACCTGTTGGCTGCGGTTGGCTGGCTGGTATTTCGCGACTGGGATCCCCAAGAGGGATGGCTTCGCCTCGTAAGAGTAGGGTGGGGCTTGTCAGCCTGTTAGTCGTGGGTACATTTGTGCCTTCCTCCCCCTCCCCATGGGGAAAAAAATACTCGCAGCCAGGCAAACGAAAACTGAATAGGCTCCCAGGCGGTTCAAAGTTGGAGAAGTTGAGAGCCTTGTCCCTCACGTAGCAGAGGTTGGGCCCCGGCCGCAGTCTGGGCGGGAAGGGATGGCTTGGGGTGGCACGTTTATAGTGTCCGTCTAATAGGGTACCCACTTCTGCCTTCTGGGTCCTACTCTTTATTGGCCAGCCCAGGGCCGGGAGGGAAAAAGACGGTCTCTCTGTTCCTTGTCTTTTTTTTTTTTTTTGGTAGGGGTGGGGGTATAGTCTTAGATTGACACAAAGTTTCAGAGATAAAACAGAGAGTCCTGTATACCTTTCACCCAAATTTTCTAATGTTAATCTTACATCACTGTTGTACATTTGTCAAAACTGAGAAATGAACATTGGTATAATACTATTAACTACATACTTTTTTTTTCCCCCAAATTTGACCAGTTTTTCCGCTAGTGTACTTTTTCTGTTCTGGTATCCAAACCAGAAGAGCATATTGCATTTAGCCTGCCTTGTTTTTTAACTGGTGGTAAGAGCAGGAATCTCATGTGTCCTCCCAATGACATGAGCTACGTTTTACTTATTCATCTACTATATGCCAGGCACTATTCTAGGAACTAGGAATATGAGACCTAAATATTGAAACCCGAGTTTCTGTCTTCTGCTACTTCCATTTGAAATTTCTTTTTTACATTGAAGGACATGGCCAATTAAAAAATTTTAAGTTGGTGGAAAATAAGTGATGTTAGACTTTTCTCCCCTTTCTAGTTTGCTCTTAAATGTTACTATAAATTTCCAAGTCATAGTATTAGCTCTTGCATTATGATCAAATTTTTTTTCCTCCAATTTATTGCTACCCTCAGAAAAATGCAGTGCACAAAGAAATGCTAAGTAAGTAAACAGGTCTGAAGATCCTACCGTATGAGGATGATGGAGTAATCCTAAAGAATAGGTACTCCATATCATGTCTTTGTAATTTTTAGCTGCTTTGACTCATGTAATAAATCCAAGGAAAAAACTTAAAACCACTCTGTGCTTTCTCACTTGTCAGTTACCATGTTTTGAGAAGCTGTCTAACTCAGTGATGATAAGCGTTCTGAATATATTTTTGTATTTTGCATATTGTGCAGCAGTTCATCATGAAGTGGTACCAACAGGAAGTGCTTCATCCAGAGTCATAGTACATGTGGATCTGGATTGCTTTTATGCACAAGTGGAAATGATCTCAAATCTAGAACTAAAGGGCAAACCTTTAGGTAATTCTGAATGTTAATATTTTCATTGTGTAATGATTGAATTAGCTACTCATATTTGTTATGTTTATTCTGATTTTTTATCCAGATTAAGAAAGACTTAAATGTAACATTTTGGGAGCAGTTCTTATAGGTGCTTTATTGACAGTAATCTTTGATTCACTACCAAGTATAAATTTTCTAAGCCTCTTTTAATAAATGGTGAAACAAATGGAATAGCCATCTGAACAGATAAACAGAGAGACCAGAATAAACTTTTAGTCATCTATGTCAGTGGCTTAGTTCTGTTTTTTTGAAATTTTATAAGCTTTATATCTCAAAAACAACCTTTTTGATTACATTTGTAGTAGAAATTTTCATTGATTCCCTCCTTTTTGAAATCAGCTCTTAAATTTTGTAAAGTCTGACAAGTTAATTGGATTTTGAACAAAACCTTAATATCAAGACATAGAACAAACTCCTAAAACAGCCTTTCTATTAATTTTTTAAATGAAATGTGAAAAGAGAAATTTTACATTGAGGATTTACTTATTGATGTGCTGGCTTGTTTTAATAATCATTCATATTTTACATTGGGAAAGCAAAGGTTTTTGTTTGTTTTGCATGCAGGAAGGATTAGTCTTTTAGAATAAGCATTAAAAGCAATTTTGATTCCCTTGCTGCTACCCTTTTATCCCTAGTTTGATTTTTATAAATCCCTATGCAGCCCAGCCTAGCTGATGTATTAAAGAGCAATGGGATGATTAGTTTTTGGTATGTCCAAGGTGAGTAGTCAGTGTAGAATTTTCTTTAAGGTGTCAAGAAGTTAGGATCAAAGGTGCCTCCATTTTCTCCTAAAAGCGTTTTTAGCTAGGAGCTCTGTAAAACAAGTTGCTCTGTAGGTCAAACCAAACCAAACCTGTTGCCGCTGAGTTGAATTCAACTCAGCGACACCTATAGCACAGACTAGAACTACCCGATAAGAGTTTCCAAAGCTATAAATCTTTATGGAAGCTGACTGCCAAATCTTTCTCCTGCTGAGAGACTGATAGGTTCCAACTGCTGGCCTTTCAGTTAGCATCTGAGCACTTAACCACTCCACCACCAGGGCTCCTCGTTCTGTAGATAATGCTTAGTAAAAAGGTATCGTGTAATTAAGAAGCATGAATGAATGATTATCATGAAATGAATCATATGAATGCTGAAAGTCTCATGGAGGAAACAAGAGGAGTCTTTATACTCAACAAATATTTGAGTACTTAACTCTTTCAGCTGGTGGCATACAGTGGTGGGTCCGTATAGTTTATTTCTGCATTAAAGGACTTTACCTTTTTAGTAAGGAAGTTACCAATATGATTTTTCTTACAGTTCACTGAGGAATCTTAAATTATTCTCTTTGACCCAGTGATGCTATTTTTGGGAATCTGATATATAAAAAATCATTATGTGCGAATATGTTTTTTTACATTGTTTATAATATCAAAATTTTAGAAATAAATGCTTAGCATTAGGGGAATGGACATAGCCATTCTCTTTCCTACACGTCCACGTTTTACACAGTTTCAGGGCTTGCTTTATAGTGGTAAACAAATAATCCACTTATTTAAAAAGAAAACATAATTTTAGCAATCTTAAGGGACCAATAAACTAGAATTTTATATAGTTGGTGATCATAATTTGATCATTTCCATAGGGAGGCAGCTCATAAGGCCTCCTCACAGTGATCTTTTCTGCAGATTGAAGAACAAGTTCAGTAATTAGACATTTGTCGGGGGAGATCCCTAACAATTGCTATAGGTTGGGACTTGTAACAGAACATTGCTTTATATTCATTGACATGTTACTCAGAAAATAAATATTTGAGTCTTTCTGGCAGCAACCAGTAATTGTACTGAATTTATTTCACCTGCTTTGTTTTTGGGTTAAGTATGACCTAGAGTTACATATGGCAATAAAAATGTGGTGTTGCATTGTCTGAAAAATCCTAGAAAGATTTAATTTGTATCTTACTACCAAAAACTCCACAGGATATATTGATTTATGATAATTTTTGTTAAATTCAAGAAATACAATACACAGTTGCCTTTTATATATGAAATAATTGATCTCTCTTCTAACATATAATTTCTACTGCTATTACCCCGTGTTTTACTATTTAATAATAACTTTTCTTTCACAAGTAGGCAAAAACAACCAAAGATTAAAAATGGAGTGAGGAAAATCATATATTGGTATCTTATAATTCTAAAGTAGGAGATAGCTTGAAAACTTGATATTTCTGCTTTGTAGAATTTTGAATGGAAGTATATTTTTAAACTGAGATGGGGCTCTTGACTCTTATGAAAACAGATTATATTACAGTTTATACATTTCTAATATGGAAGTGAAGTACCTGGGTGGTGCAAACAGTTAAGAGCTCAGCTACTACCAAAAGGTTGGTTCCAACCCACCCAGAGGTGCCTCGGAAGAAAGACCTGGTGATTTGCTTCTGAAAGGTCACAGCCTTGAAAACTTCATGTAACACAGTTCTATTCGGCAGCACATGGGGTTGTCCTGAGTTGGAATTGACTTGATGGCAATTAGTTTTAATATGGAAGTAGTAAATTACATTTTAAGATATTTCTTCAGTCCTTGTTTTTTTCATAAAATATTTATTTTTTTATAGGGGTTCAGCAGAAATATTTGGTGGTTACCTGCAACTATGAAGCCAGGAAACTTGGAGTTAAGAAACTTATGAGTGTCAGAGATGCAAAAGAAAAGTGTCCACAGTTGGTATTAGTTAATGGAGAAGACTTGACCCGTTATAGAGAGATGTCATATAAAGTTACAGGTACAGATTATAGGCACTGTACATTTATTATTGATTTATATAGAAAGCCTATTTACTACATGAATATTTTAATAAATGTGAAATGCCATAATTCATTTTTTTTCCTAATAACTTTGAGTCTTTTTTTTTTTGAAAAAATTAGAGGACGACTTTATGTAAGTGATATTGACAAGAATATGTGTAGCTGGAAGTAATTTGAACTGTCATGACTGGTGTTTATATAAGTATCAGAAAAAAATGTAAAACAAAATTTAAAAGTGAGAAAATGAGAAGATATAAATAAAACCAAGTATTTTTAATTTTAAATTTACTGTATTTTTATGCAAATAATGCACATATTCTACATTTGTTTGCCAAACTCGACCCCTCCCCCCAACCTCCCGAGGTATTTTCATAAGCACACTGTGCTAATTTTTTTTTGGTAAAAATATGGTAAGTGCCAAGTTTAAATGAATTATTATTAAGAAATATGGTGTTCCCTGATGCATTAATGGTAGTGGGAGAGGCTTATGTAATGTTTGATTAGCATAATTAAAAACTGATTTAAAAACTATTAACAAAAATAATATATTAATCTTTTCCTAGGATTTTGTGTGTATACTAAATATTACAATATAGCTAAACTCTTCCGTGCTAAGGCTTGGGTTTGAATCTTAGTCAGTGTTTTAGTAAATCAGAGGAAAAGTAAAAATGCATGCATACTGGCCTATGCAGATATATATATAATTTAAAAATGTGTTAGGGTCAGCTTTTGGATTTACTTATTTTTATTATTTTTGTTTTTATTTGATTACCTATAGCTGTTCTAGATGAAAAGGTTAAAGATCTATAATATACAGACCTCTTACAAATTAACAAGAAAAACAAAATAAGAAAAATGGACAAAAGACATGAATAGATGATTCACAAGAAGAGCAAACCCAAATGTCCAACAGTTATGTGAAAACATGCTCAAGTCAGTGGCTAAGGAAGTATTAATTAGTAAGACTTTCTCTTTGTTTTATATCTATCATATTTGCAAAACAAGTAAAGGATGTGAGAAAAAGTAGAAACCTAAAGTATTTCAGCCTTTTAAAAAAGCAATCTAGAAACATCTATTAAAGATACATATATTCTTCAGCCAGTTATCCCACTGCTGGGAATTTTTCAAGTAGAGATAAAATCATAACTGCACAAGGACATACGTACACAGATATTTATTGTAGCATGGTTCATATTTGGCAAAAATATGGAATGAAAACATGTTCTTCAATAGGAGAATGACTAAAGAAGCTAAGATTTCTATGCAGTGGAATATTAATACCACTATTAAAAAGAATGCATTGGAGCTATACTGTTTGACTCATATGCCTTGTTGTTGAGTAAATTAAAAGCAAGATGCAAAATGGCGTGTATCACACTTTCCCATGTATGTAAAACAATGGTGGAAATCCTTCCCTCCGTATATAGGTATATGTCCTTCAAGGAAGGGATGACCAAAATACTGCATTGTAGTGTATTATATTGTAGTATAAATGGCTTTCCTGGTTGACCCAGTAGTAATTGAGAATTTTCTGGTTTGTTTTTCATTTTGCCTTTTTAAAATTCTTGTGGAAAATAGAACTAAGATGTATTAGTACTCGTTGTGACTTTTCTAAGCCGACTAATTCTTGGGCACACCATTTTAAGATCGTAATTAACTATAAGCATTGATGTTTAATGTACTAAAACAAAAAAACCCATTGCTTTTGAGTCAATTCTGACTCATAGCGATCATATAGGACAGAGTAGAACTGCCCCATAGGCTTTCCAAGGAGTGGTTGGTGGATTCAAACTGCCACCCTTTTGGTTAGCAGCTGTAGCACTTAACCACTGTGCCCCCAGGGCTCCTTAATGTCCTACAGACATAGAAATGCTGTGCGCAGGAAATTGAACTAAATGTGTTGCCATGAGTAACTGCCCTAGGAATTTTGTTTTTGGACTTGTTTTTTTTGGAAAACACTGCCGTGTACTCAAAATATGGTACAGAAAAAAAAATTATAGTTAACTGAGGGCTTTATTAAAGATATTGTGGAACTGGGAGTATATATAAAACCTTTAACAAAATAGTAGGTGTATTTTCTTAAGTCTAAAATAGTTAAGACTATTCTAGTTACAGTTTCAGTTAATCTGTGTTCCAATATTATTTCCATTTAGAGCTAATGGAAGAATTTAGTCCAGTTGTTGAGAGACTTGGATTTGATGAAAATTTTGTGGATATAACAGAGATGGTTGAGAAGAGACTCCAACAGCTTCAAAGTGATGAACGTTCTTCGGTGACTGTGTCGGGTCATGTATACAATGATCAGTGTGAGTAGGTTCTTACTTATTCTATTTAGTAAGTGAAAGTATGTGTATTTTTTATTGTTCAACAAGTTGGCTGTGTCATTCTAAAAGTTATAACTTTTATTGGAAGTATAGTCATATTTAATCTATCTAGGATAGGTAACATTAGGTATAGATATTCCAAACTAAGTGTGTAGAAAATGAGATTTTGATGACATGTAGCTCAATGCTTTGTGCTGTTTTCATCTCTGAAATAGTCTACCTGTTCCTATTTTTAAGAGCCGTTTATCTCTTTATCTCATCGTTAAGTTACAGGACTTGTCTTGTAGGCTGAATTAATCTTTGATGCCTCCCGTACTTGTTCCCTTCTATTCCCTTAAGGCACTGAGACCCTCTTTTTGCTCTCTGACTTGGCTAGCTACCCCTTGTGAAGTCTTGTCCAGCTCTCCGTGCCATGTGCTTAGTATCTTTCCAAGCTCCTATTTAATCAGCTCAAATAATCTTTGCCAGCTCTTAACAGGAAAGCACAATGATTTATTTTTACATATTAAGGTGTGAATGACTGATAGTGTTACCAGTGATATTTGCATTGGGAAATAGGCTGCAATATGCTCCAGTAAATATCTGGTTAGATTTTCAGAAATCTTGTGGCTCTGCTGGAGACTTGTACATCATACCGCATAGAAGACAAACTACTCTGTTTTTGCGTAAGACTTGCCCTGACTCTCTTGCTCTTGGGTCCCAGCATGTGCTTTCTCTTATCCCCCTTCTTTGAGAACTGGCGATGAATCTCCAGTATAGTCCTTGCCTTCCCAGTATTAAAGAAAAAAAGAGGTAGAGCTACAGTTGTCTTCTGGAACAAGAATTGAAGCTTTTCATGTGTGTTCTGTACCTATGCTCTTCTGTCACTTACAAGGTCTGTGTAGCAAGAAGATTCTAAATACATTTCTATATACATTTTTAAAGCAAACTCAGATGTTATTGCTTAAGCAGATTAGAGAGAGCTAGGTTTTATATCCTAAAAAAAAAGTCTAATTATTTATAAATTCTCCTCCCCATAATTTTATTTAGAAAATTTTTCAAACTTACAGAAAATTGACAGAATAGTACAGTGAATACTCATTATGCCCTCCCTGTAGATGCAGCACATTTGCTTTATCTTGCTGTCTCTCTTTCTCGCTCTCGATTGATTGATTAACCATTTGAAAATAAATTGCACATCATGACTCTTCATCCCTAAATACTTCTAACGTGAGTCTCCTGAGGATAAGGACAGTCTCGTATAACTCCAATATTATTGTCACACCAGAGAAAATTTCCTTCTATGTAATTTCCTTTCTCTATTCCATTTTTCATAAAAGAGCTCTTAAACTATGTACAGATCAGAAATTGTTTTAAGTAACACGCATAGCTAGTGTGTAAAATTTAGACTTAGGTCTTTAAAGCCGTAGTGTTAGCTTTCTTATTATATAAAACATGCTTTTATACTTGCTTACAGGTAAATGTGAGTTAAAGTTTTACTAATGCCAGTAGGAATTTTTTCTGAGAGATAAATTTTCATAATCTGTTAATTAGGCACTCCCAGTATACATTCATTATTACAGGCCCTTGAAATTCACTTGTATTTGTTTACAGTATTCCTGTGAAGAATGAAAGAGATTAGTTAAGTGGGCAGCAGTATGATGGTAGTGGTGATGGTGATGGTAATGGTGGTAGGGATTGATATAAGCCAAGCCTTATACTCTTTGTAAAACTCTTTGGTAAAAAAGTAAGTTAAAATATTTTGTTGTGACATTTAATGACATTGGGTCTTTTTACAGCTATAAACCTTCATGACATCTCGCATATCAGGCTACTTGTTGGATCTCAGATTGCAGCAGAGATGCGGGAAGCCATATATAATCAGTTGGGTCTCACTGGCTGTGCTGGAGTGGCTTCTAATAAACTTTTGGCAAAATTAGTTTCTGGCATATTTAAACCAAATCAGCAAACGGTCTTATTACCTGAAAGTTGTCAAGATCTTATTCACAGTTTGAACCACATAAAGAAAATGCCTGGTAAGACAAATATATTTGAAAAGTATTTAATTGGCTTTATTGTATTTGTTTAAAGTTATAGGTACAGTGTAATTCTTAGAGTGTGTATACTTGACTCTAAAAAACCTGTTGTTTTCTGGAAGTGTCTGTATTAGGAAATGTATGAAACTACTCTTCTACTTTCACCTACTTCTGTATAGTTAGAATATGATTATAAGCATTATAATTTGGAATCATGATCCTTTATTTCCACTCCCTGCTTCCTGCTTTTCTACTTCATGCATTGCATATAGAGAGGGGAGTTAGTCTTTTACTAACTCTGTTTTGGGATTATGTATACAATATTAGTGCTAGGAGGGACTTCCAAGGTAGCTAAGACAGGTCCCTCATTTTAAAGATACGGTGACTGATTTCTTTGAATGGTTCAGTGACCTGTTCAGGTTATGGGGCAAGTTTGTATATTTGAAAATCAAAAATGTAGGCTTTTAGAGGACATCAATAATGGATATATTAAACTTCATTTCTGTGGCATTGCTTGGAATAAGATGTTACAATAGATTTCTGCGGAAGTGATTTTCTAAGACAATTGAAACTTACCTTTTCGGGTGTCGTAACTTCAGATTTTTAACCTATGTTTGTGTGATTCCAAAATGTATTATACACTGCCTTACCTTCTTTAATTAAAAAAAAAAATCTGTTGCTATTGAGTCTATTTCAACTCATAGTGACCTTATAGGACAGAGTAGAACTGCCCCGTAAGGTTTCCAAGGAGCAGCTGGTGGATTCAAACTGCAGACTTTTTGGTAGCAGCCGAATGCTTAACTGCTGTGCCACCAGGGCTGCTCCTTAATGTGGTATAATCATAATTCGAAGTTTAGGGGATGATTCTGGGTCTACATTGTGAACAGTAATCACTCTGTCAGGTTGTAATAAGTTGAGGACTATATACTGATAAAAAACTCACTTAGCTTTACTTTTTGAGTTCTTATATGTGCTTTTTATAGGCTTTGTTTTCTTCCTTAGTGCCAGATTGCCAGCTCTCATTTATTTCAGCTGTGAAAATATCTGCCAGTCCACTTTAATAATTTCCCCTACACACGCATCTCCTCTGATTCACTGCTTCGACTGTGCAAGTAAACCAATAATTGTATAATTTTTAAAAATAGAGAATGTTCATGCATTGTGAAAAATGTAACCAATGTTACTGAACAACTTGTATAAAAATTGTTGAATGGGAACCTAAATTGCTGTGTAAACTTTCACCAAAAACACTATAAAATATTTAAAAAAAAAAAAAGAAGAATAAGGGGCATTAAATGGTGTAAAAATGGCTTGGTGGCAGTGTCTGACCTCTAACTTCACAAGGGGGACGGAGAATCAAGATCAACAGCCCCAGGCTGATTCCTGTGAGGCAGAGGTTAGACATGCCTTATCTCTCTGCCATCTTTACCAAATTTGACACTATTCATCCCTCCCACGGCACTACTTCTCTGCTGGGTTCGATAATTCATTGCAGTGGCCACACAGAACTCACAGACCATACTCAGGATTGTGGGATTTATTAGGGAAGTAACAGGTTACAATTCAGGTTCAGAAATGCTTAGGAGATAGTTCTCTCAGGACAGCCTCTTTCCAGCCATAGCCGCAGGCACGCCTCTCTTTGGCCCCTCGGACTCTGCCCTGCTCAGGCAAATGTTACAGTGCTGTTTTAGCTCTGCTGATAAGTGCCCAGAGGCACCCCACTCTACCAGTAAGCCTTGGCCTGAAGGTGCCCTGCTCTAGCTCCGTGGGTCGGCAAACCTAGCTCCACCACGTGCCCAGAGGCACCCTATTCCTCCAGCAAGCCTTCTGCCAAAAGACATTCAGCTTTCTCTCTCCATGGTCCCGGAAGCCTGCTGTGCCGTCTCCTACCAGTCTCTCCTGCCTGTGTTCCTCTGCCACCGCTTCTTGCCATCTTCAGTGTTACAGCTCGCTTTCTTGGTCTCCTGGTTCCAGGAGCTTCTCAGCGCAGGGATCTCGCATACAAAGGACACGCTCCACTCTTGGCTCTTCTTTCTTGATGGTGGTGATATTCTCTCCTCCCCACCTCTGGGATAGCTGATTTTGAGCCTAGCGGGATGGCAAAACTCACTGATCCCTTCATTAGTGTTCCATAGACCTTATATGCATGGCCCCACTCATACACGGGTACCATAAACTTTGTGTTATTAGCAAGGTATCCAGTCCCCTTGGTGGGCCACAATTACCTTATTTGTATAGTCCCACCCAGTCACACTTGGGTGGCAGATATAAGAGCATGGCAAGAAACACGACACAAAAGCGATCCATCAAAATGGACTGCAAATGGCCTGAGTATTTCTCCTGCGAATAAAATGTGACTTGAGTTTTAGTGCAAGAACTTTGTGATAGGAGTTTTGCTACTAAGATTTTTTGTTTGCTGATTTGTATTTGTATTCTGGATAATAAATGTTGCCAGATACAACTTTTGGATAAATGTGTGTTGTATAGGAATCCGTTAAATCAGCAAATAAACACAAGCTATTTAATATTAATTGCTCTAAGGACGATCTTTCTTTATATGAATAATAACCGTGATGGCTGAATACTTTCACGGTGTTATGTAACAGGTAGTAAAAATTTCACTTTATCAAGAAGGCATTTATTGACTGTGTTTATATTCATTATGTTACATTAGATGTTGTCAGGGCTTCAAAAGTTTCACATAACTGAGGGGCCCTGAGTGGAAGAATAACCTAATTTGCAATAAAGTTTGATCTTAGAAAAATACAAATTATAGAACTTAAAGATGTGGCTGTATACTTACAATATATTTTTGTTTTAGTTAGCTTTATTTTAAGGAGAAAAGTTGTAATAATAACACTGTATACATTTCTTTTTGTTTAGGTATTGGCTATAAAACTACCAAACGTCTTGAAGCACTGGGTATCAATAGTGTTCGTGATCTTCAAACCTTTTCATCCAAAATATTAGAAAAGGAATTTGGAATTTCAGTTGCTCAGCGTATCCAGAAGCTCAGTTTTGGAGAGGATAACTCTCCTGTCACACCCTCAGGACCACCTCAGGTACATAGTAATGATAACTGTTTTAATTGAGTACTGGTTGTCACCTTCTTGAAGATGAAGATTTCTGGTTTTAGTACCATGTTTTTACTATTCTAGTTTACTTATTAGGTTAGTACATGATCTCTTTCTTATTAGGAGTATGCTTTATTATATTAGATTAATAAGTATTCTTAAATTGAATCTAAGCTTTAATATTTTTAAAGTCTCAAATTAGCCACTTGGATTGAAATAAACTTATTTTAATAGCCTATGTTGTTTATATAAGACAATATATTTTAATTTTTAAAAAATCTTGTTTTCAAAGTAGTCCATTGATTTAGGAAATGGGGAAAGATATGATGACCCAGTTAACATTAGTTTATTTCTTCCTATGTGACAAGCAGTTTGCTAAGTGCTTTATATATATTAGTCCTTTTAACCTTCCCAAGAAATCCTTGAGGGTAGGTAGTGCTATTCTATCTCTCTCCCTCCCCTCCTTTTTTTAAGATGAGGATACTGTACTTCAGAAAGGTAAAATAACCTACCCAAGGTTAAACTCAGATTCAAGTCCTGGTGGATTAAAAGCCTTGCTGTAATTATACAGTAAAGCTTGGAATTCATACTAGAATTTTATAATTTTCTTGATTTCCAGTGTACTTTCTAGTGGAGTATAATAGTTAATATACAAGTGAACTAAATGGCTCAAATTAAGCGCAGGAGGTAAGTTGGCAGAGAATATGTTGAATATTTATGTGACTTATACACTGATGATTGGATATGCTTATTTGGGTTTACAATAATCCTTATTTGTGCTTCTTTGGTAGTCCTTTAGTGAAGAAGATTCATTTAAAAAGTGTTCATCAGAAGCTGAAGCCAAAAAGAAGATTGCAGAACTACTTGCTAGTCTTTTGAACAGGTGATCTTCAATTTTGCCAAGCCATCTTAAATATTCATTCTATCGATAGTATATGGAAAGAATACTTGATGTTCTGTCTTGGAAGTTACAGATTAACTGGAGACTAAACAATGTAAGGAGTTCCTGGGTGGTGCAAACAGTTAACACTCTGAGCCGCTAACTGAAAGGTTGGACGTTTGAGTCCACCCAGAGATGCCTCAGAAGAAAGGCCTGGCCATCTACTTCTTGGGGGGGGGAACTCAGCCATTGAAAACCCTATGGAGCACAGTTCTGCTCTGATACAAGTGTGATAACCATGATCAAAATCGACTCCATGACAACTGTTTTTTTTTTTTTTAAATAATGTAAAGATAGGTTATTTGTCACTGTGTTTCTCTGCATTATAAACTATTGCAAAGATAGTAATAGGTACACTTAACTAAATTTAATCCATTTACTTCCCTTGGTCTTAATTTTAGAAACACTGTGGTTATACCATGACTCTTTAGCTGCTGACAATTACCTAAAGGGGTTTCATGGATCTTTCTAGAATTCCCAGACCTATTGTAGTCCTTGACAAAAAGGAAGAAGTTTAATTTTATTCCTTGTGCCACTTGTAAAACCTTTGCTCTGACCTAACAGTTACTTGCTTTTCAGTAAGAGGAAAAAATGCAGAGAGGAGTAATCCTGTCAAAATTCTTACAAGAACAGGTGTATATATTTGTTGTAGTTGAGAAAGGAAATTAAAAGCAACAATGATGGAAAAAGCAGAAGAACCCTTCTATCTCCTTTATTTCAGACTGTGTGAAAGAAAATGCAGTCAGGACAAAGGAAGCAATAGCTAAATGGGGCTATGTGTAAGCAAAAGTCTGGGTATATGCAGGATTATTGATCTATAAGTAGATGAAGGTGTCAGCTGGGATTATGATTACATGAATAGCATAGCATAAGCTGAACAAGAAATTTAGTTTTCTGATGTGCCTTTGCCATCATATCTATATTTCTGAATACTCTGTAGAAGATTGTCTGTCTTCTTCCCATTTCTCTGACTCTTTTTTGTTAGAAATTTCTGAAAATAGGGTGTCAAGGGTCTAACAGTTTAGGATAGGCGTGCTTCTATAATGATGCTAGGAGAGCTAACTGTGACTTGAGAAAACAGGCTTTGGATGACTAAGTCTCAGAAAACTGATGAAATGAAATTTCCTACAACTTTACTGTCACATACAGTGTGGTTCTCATGTTTTGAGCAGGGCCATGCAGCCCATTGCCTGCTGCATGCAGCTGGGGCTGGTTAGTATGACCCAGCTCCAGTGCCATGACTCAGGCTGGTCCTGTGAGTGTGCTGGTGAAACTGGGTCACCTGCTGTGCTTCAGCTAAATATAAGACTACTCTGAAAAGCCTAGCCATTGCAAACAGTTCTGCACATGGAGAAACCACAAGAAGTGTAAGTTTTACATTTTCTCTTATTTGACAAATCAGCACCCACCTTGGCCCCTTATTTCAGTGACTGAAGTATAATATCACCTAAGTAACTGGCAAAAAAATAATTTTGTGTGTGTGTATGTATATATTCATACATATAATTTTTAATCCATCCTGTGTCTTACTGTTAGTTGCTGTCAAGTCAGTTCCAACTCATGGCAACCCCATGTGTTAAACAGAGCAGAACTGCTCCCTAGGGTTTCCTTGGCTGTAGTCTTTACAGAAGCAGATCACCAGGCTTTTCTTCCACAGTGCTGCTAAGTGGTTTCAGACTGTCAACCTTCAGGTTAGCAGTCAAGTGCAAACCGTTTGTGCCGCGTAGGGACCTAATCCATCCTCCAGGCAGTAGTTTAAGATTGCTTAGAATACAACTTTTTTCTTGTATGTCTAGTATGCCACACTCTTTGAATTGTATAATTACTTAGAACAAGTTTAACTGGAAGATACTTAAACATGTTTGCAGGAACCATTTAAGGCATTTTTTTAAATTGTAGTAAAGCTCCTTGGAAACCCTATGGGACAGTTCTGCTCTGTCCTATGGGGTTGCTATGAGCTGGAATTGATTCAGGGGCAACAGGTTTGGTTTTTTTTTTTTCAAAGCAGGAATCAAGTTTTGTGATTTAAACAATAAGAGACAGGAAAAAAAATTGTTTACTATAAAAATCTAATTTTTCCAATTCAGAATCTTTAGTTTGAGTATGCTTAACAATGTTCACTGTTTGTATTTCATATTTGTGATTTGGTTTTGCATGTATTGCTTACATGTAAAAAGGAAAATGCTATCCTTTAATTATGTTTATTTTCTTCAGTAATTGGATTTTCTACTTTTTTAAGTGAATCTTCCATATTACTAAAACTTTTGTTTTCAGCACCAAAATGTAACACCATTTGAATGGAACACTTTTTTTTTTTTTTTAATTGTTGGAAAAATGTAACAGAACATTTGCCAATTCAACATTTTTCAGGTGTACAATTTAGCGGTATCAATTACATTAATCATGTTGTGCAATAATCACTCATAATTGTTGCCAAATTTCTCATCACCATAAACAGAAACTCACTGCCTCCCAAACAGTGAGAATGGGTCTCTTTTTAAGATGCATACACATTTACTTACTTTCCTAAACATAGTATGTAATCTTGAAAGTTATTGTTCTAATATGCCGTATAATAGTGATATTATTGGCTGTCTTGGATCTATTTGGGTAGTACTCTACTTTGACAAAAATAACCTTATTTTGTAAAATCAAAATTTGTAAAAATTTTTTCCTCTCTTTTTTCATTTATTTGCTTCTGCCAGTGGATGCTTTTCTCAGTTTCTTAAAATTTCTGCTGGTTTTTATATGTTGCTTTTAGTTGAACTTAGATTATAAAACAGCTTGTTAATTGTCTGATTTCTGTCCTGTTTCTGACAACAGTCAATTCTGAGTGAAGCCTGGTATCCTTAAACATTTAAAATTTCAGAGCTTTAGTATGTAGTGGAGCCCTGGTGGCCCAGTGGTCAAGAGCTACAGCTGCTAAACAAAAGGTCGGCAGTTCGAATCCACCAGCCCACTCCTTGGAATCCCCATGGGGCAGTTCTACTCTGACCTGTAGCGTTGCTATGAGTTGGAGTTGACTTGACGGCAATAGGTTTGGTTTTTGTTTTTGGTTTAGTATATAGCCTTTATGGTATTCATTTGGGCTATTCAGGGGCCTTTATTGCTTACTCCTTAGTTATCTACTGTGTTTATAATTGTTACAGTTACCAAGTCTGTCACCTTTAGATAAATGAGGAGGTATACCATTTTAAAAATCTTTAGGAAATGTTTTTTCTAATTCCTTATTTTATTTTTAGAGTATGCCAAGATGGAAGGAAGCCACATACAGTAAGGTTAATAATCCGTCGGTATTCATCTGAGAAGCACTATAGTCGTGAAAGTCGTCAGTGCCCTATTCCATCCCATGTAATTCAGAAGCTAGGGACAGGTATGGACTAATTTTCTAAGAATTTAATTGGCAAGTAGAACTCTTTAAAAAACAAACTTTGAATTAGAAGTATACTCCAAAGGTGGAGGGCCCTCATAGGGAATTAACAAGAAATTAAGTACCTTTATTCTACTAGGTATTTTCACTAGAAAACTTCATTTCCTTTTTTTAAATAGATAATGAAAAGTTAAGTTATGAATGTTTCCCAACTTCAAAGAGAACAAAACTATAATCATTAATTATGTAACATGAGATAACTTTTTTATGGGCATTTAGATTGTTTTCTACTCTTGGGCTGTTACGAGAAATGGTGAACATTTGCGTCCAAGTCATTGGGTGAACATATTTTCATTTATCTTGGGTAGATTACAAGGAGTGGAACTGCAGGGTCGTGTGGTACCTTGAACTTTTTAAGAATTTTTTAAAAATTGTTTAAATTTTTTGCAGAGTGAGTGTAACATTCTTACATTCTCATCAATAATATATGAGGGTTCAATTTTTCCATATCCTTGCCAACATTTGGTATTGTCAGTTTCTGATTATAATCATTTTAGTGGGTGTGTATTAGTATTTCATTGTGATTTTCTTTCTTCTATACATAGAGCTTTTAGTGACATATCTAAAAACTCTTTGCCTAACCAGATGTCATAGGTATTTTTTTCTAGAAGTTTTATAGTTTTAGGCTTTTCATTTAGGTTCGAGTTTTGTTTTTTTTTTTTTGCATGTGGGTATCCAGTTGTTCCATCAGCATTTGTTGAAGACTGTTCTTTCCCCCACTGAATTGCCTTGGCACCTTTTTAAAAAATCTATTGACCATAAATGTTTTTATTTCTTGACTTTCTTGTTCCAGTGATGTATATGTTTTTCCTTATACCAGTTCCACCCTGTCTTTATTACTGTACCTTTGTCGTAAGTTTTTTAAATTAGGTATTGTAAGTTCTTCAACTTGGTTCTTTTTGAAATTATTTTGACTATTTTAGAGTTTTTGCATTTCTGAGTCAGCTCGATGGCAACTTTATTTTTGGGGTCAATTTCTACGAAAAAGGCTGCTGGGATTTTGATAGGGATTGGGTTGAATCTGAGATCAATTTAGGTTTTTCCAGCATGGAATGTCTGTTTATTTAGATTTTCTTTAATTTTTCTTAACAATGTTTTGTAGTTTTTAATGCAGAGGATTTGAACTTCTTTTTGTTAACTTTACTCCGAAGTATCTTATTCTTTTTGATGCTATTGTGACTGGAAATGTTTCTTTATTTGATTTATAGATTGTTTTTAATACATAGAGATACAATTGATTTTTGTATATGAATGTTGTATCCCGCTATCTTGCTAGACTCATTTATTAGCCCTGGTAGGTTTTATTTTTATTTATTTATTTTTGATTCCTTAAGAGTTTATACATATAGGATCTTGACATCTGTGACTAAAGACAGTTGTATTTGTTCCTTTCTAACCTGTACACTTTTCATTTCTTTTTCTTGTCCTATTACACTTACTAGACCTCGAGTACAATGTTGAATAGAGGTGGTGAGAGCAGCCATCCTTGGTCTGTTCTTAGAAAAAAAACATTCAGTCTTTCACCATTAAGTATGATGTTAGTTCTAGGGATTTCTTTTAGCTACCCTTTATCAAGTCGAGGAAGTTCATTTTTATTCATAATTTGTTGAGAGTTTTTATTATGAAAGGGAATTGGATTTTGTAAAATGTTTTTTTGTGTATGTCTGTTGAGATAATTGGAGCCCTGGTGATGCAGTGGTTAAGAGCTCAGCGGCTGACCAAGACGTTGGCAGTTCAAATCCACTAGCCGCTCCTTGGAAACCCTATGGGGCAGTTCTGCTCTGTCCTGTAGGGTCACTATGATTCGGAATTTACTTGACAGTAATGGGTTCAGTTTTTTTTTTTTTTTATTTAATTGAGATGACTGTATGGTCTTTGTCCTTTACTCTGTTATTGCAATGTATTATAAATTTGCTTTCAGAGTAAACCAGCCTTCTTTTTTGTAACAAATCCCCTTGATCATGGTGTATAATCCTTTTTATATGTTAATGAATTTGTTTTGCTAAGATTTTGTTAAGATTTTTGCATCTGTGTTGATAGGGATATTCTGTAGTTTTTATTTTTTGTGATGTCTTTGACTTTGGTATTAGTATAATAGTGGCCTCAAAAGATGAATTAGGAAATGTTCCCTTTTTTGTTATTTTCTCAAAGAATTTGTGTAAGATTGGTATTATTTTTTATTAAATATTTGGTAGACTTCACTAGTGAAGGCAAACATTCCTGGGTTTTTGTTTGTGGGAAGATTTTTAAATAGTAGTTTATTTCTAATGAGTCTGTTAGACTTATTATTTATTATGAGTCAGTTTTGGTAATTTGTGGCTTTCTAGGAATTTGTGTATTTCATCCAAATTATCTAATTTTTGGCATGAAGTAGATAATATTTTTTTATAATTCTTTTAATTTTTATATGATCTGTAGTGATGTTTCCTCTTTAATTCCTGATTTTGGAAATTTGTGTATTCTCTCCTTTTTTTTGTGGTCATTTTAGCTAAATATTTATCAGGTTTGTTGATCTTTTTTAAAGATTTAACTCTTAGTATTAGTTATGATATAATATGTTTAGATGTTTTCTTCTTAAACATTTTGTTTAGGAAACTATGATGTGATGACCCCAATGGTTGATATACTTATGAAACTTTTTCGAAATATGGTGAATGTAAAGATGCCATTTCACCTTACCCTTCTAAGTGTGTGCTTCTGCAATCTTAAAGCACTAAATACTGCTAAGAAAGGACCTATTGACTATTATTTAACACCGTCATTATCAACAACTAAATGCTCTGGCAAGCGCAGTCTTGTAAGTACATTTTTTAAGTTTTGTAAGTATACTGTTACTGAATTTGCGGGACTAAGTTAAAAATCTAAGTTTGTTTTTAACTGATGTAATTTAGAGCTGCTTTTGGGTGATACTGTTTGGATAATTTACTTGTTTAAAGTATCTATCATATATTATTTTGTCCAGCTGCAGTGAATTACTTACTTTGGCTCTTCTAGCCATACTCTTTGTGACTCCCACATAATGAATGATTGGGTGGGACTATGAAAATATAGTGTTTCTGGCCCACCAAGAGGATGGCACAGCCTACTAAGAATGCAGATAAGGTGCATGGAACCCTAATGAGGGGATTCGTCAGTTTTGCCATTCCTAGGCTTAAAAGAGAGCCAATCCCAGAGCAGAGGTGGGGACATCACTACAGTCAGGAAAGAAGAGCTGGGAGTGGAGTGCATCCTTTGGACCTGTGATCCCTACGCTAAGAGCTAAGACTCAGGAGACAGAGAGAGAGCTGTAACACCAGAGATGGGAGAGACAGCAAGAAGCAGCGGCAGAGAAATGGTGACAGCAGAACCAGGAGATGGCATGGTGGGCTTGCTGGCCCGTGGAGTGAGAAAACTGAGCACCTTTGGGCAGGAGGCTTGCTGGTAAGGTAGGGTGCCTCCAGGCACTTACTGGCAGAGCTAAAGAGCTTTGTAACCCTTGCCTGAGTAGGACAGAGGCAGAGGGGCCACGAGGCCTAGAGGCCAGGGGCTGGAAAGAGGCCTGCCTGTGGGCATGGCTGCGAAGGAGCTGTGCTGGCCAAAGAACTGTATCCTGAGTTGTTGCTGATCCTGAATTGTAACCTGTTACCTCCCTAATAAACCCTGTAATTGTGAGTATGGTCTGTGAGTTCTGTGTGGCCATTGCAACGAATTACCGAACCTAGTAGAGGAGTAGAGAGTGTCTTATGGCTGGTGTTAGAATTGGTAAAAAGGTTGGAGAGAGGGGGAATGTGGAAACTCCACCTCATAGGAATCAGCCTTGGGCTGTTAATCTTGATTCTCCTTCCTGCTTGTGAAGTTAGAGGAGGTCAGATGCCGGTGCCACACCCTTTTTACACCAGCTTTTGCATGCATATAAGGTGGCTGAACAGACCATGGCTTGGGTTAGGCACTCATAAGTCATCAAATGCTTTTTAAAACTTCAAAGAGGTCTTTTGCAGCAGGTTTGCTCAGTGCAGTAGATCATTTGATTTCTTGACTGCCGCATCCATGGGTATTCATTATTGATCCAAGTGGAATAAAATCCTTGACAACTTCAGTTTTTTCTCTGTTTATCATGAACATGTTTATTGGTCCAGTTGTGAAGAATTTTGTTTTCTTTACATTCAGGTGTAATCTATACTTGAAGGCTATAGTCTTTGACCGTCATCAGTAAGTGCTTCAAGTCTTCTTAATTTTCGGCAGGAAAGGTTGTGTCATCTGCATATCTCAGGTTGTTAACGAGTCTTTTTCCAATCCTGATGCTGTGTTTTTCTTCATATAGTCCAGCTGGATGTATATTTTTTTGTTCAGCATGCAGATTGAATAAGTAAGGTGAAAGGATAAAACCCTGCTGCACACCTTTTCCAGTTTTGAACTATGCAGTATCCGCTTGTTCTGTTCAAATGACTGACTCTTGATCCATGTATAGGTTCTGAATGATCACAATTAAGTGTTCTGGAATTCTCATTCTTTATGTTATCCATAACTTGTTATGATCCACACAGTTGAATGCCACATTCAAATTTTGGTGTTGGCGAAGAATATTGAATATACGATGGACTGCCAAAAGAACAAATAAATCAATCTTAGAGGAAGTACAACCAGAATGCTCCTTAGAATTGAAGATAGCGAGACTTTGACTAGCATGCTTTGGATACATCATCAGGAAAGACCAGTCGCTAGAAAAGGACATTACATTTAGTAGAGGGTCAGCAAAAATTAGGGAAAGCCTCAGTGAGATGAATTGACACAGTAGCCCCAACAGTGAACACAAACATACCAATGATCATGAAGATGGGACAGGAATGGGCAGTGTTTCCTTCTGATATACATAAGGTCACTATTAGTTGAAGCCTACTGTACATCAGCTAACAAGAACAACATCATATGTTACAGTTGCTGATCTTAAATCTGTGTATTGTGATCTCACAAGAAAATATAACCATCACTGGATAAATGAGAAAACCATTGTAGCGGTTCCCAGTTTCAGAAGTGTTAACACATTTTATAACAGTATATAGGGATATGATGGATTAGCTGATAAATAGGAAAATATTTCCAGATTCAAGTATTTTTGTCAGTTTATAGACCAGCTACCAGCCCTCCTCCTCCCAATTTTTTTGTTAAAGTATTTAAAAAATCATGGTTTTTAAGTTTTATTGAATTTTGATGTCAATATTTGATATGACTGCTGATTTTACAGTTGTTGAAATTGAGAGAATGACAGTAGAGAGGCAGAAGCCAGTTACATTTTTAAATGACTAAAATGGAAACCCTTGTACATGGTAGTTTTGTGAACCTCTGGTTATTAACAGTTTAGTAAATGTGGGATGCTCTTAAAAATAACAGTCATTTATTAAATTGTTCATACCTATAATTAACTCTTAATATAAAATATTTTTATTTTTCTTATTTTTCATTGTTTAGTCATCCAGAGTGTAATTTTAATATTTTATTTACATTTAAGATTAAAATGAGAACAGAAGTGTTAGGAAAATAGTGAATTAGTGCCCTCTTCACATTACTTTTATCTCTGACTCTTCCATTTCATTTATTAACTGAAATTTTAAAAGGCATTTACTTTTTATTTTTTAATAAATGTATAGAAGGGGAATTAAAGGTCCCTAATTTACAGAGATTTTGTCTGTTGCCATCAAGTTGATTCTGACTCAGCAGCCCTATAGGACAGAGTAGAACTGCCTCATAGTATTTCCAAGGAGCAGCTGGTGGATTCGAACTACCATGCTTTTGGTTGGCAGCCGAGCTCTTAACTACTGTGCCACCAGGGCTCCACAGAGGTATCAGAGGACTAAATATAAGTGAAAATTACCTTGTGCATGTCTGGCACAAAATAGGTGCTCAATAAATATTAAGGCCTTAATCTCTTCTTTGAATTTTTTTTGAAGTTACTATTGTATTGATGTTTACTGAGTTACGTTTGGCTGTACATACGTTTTTATGTTGCTTAAAACTGTTGTGTTGTTAGGTGCCATTGAGTTGGTTCAAACTCATAGGAACCCTATGTACAACAGAACGAAATACTGCCCAGTCCTGCACCATCCTCACCATTGTTCCTATGCTTGAGCCCATTGTTGCAGTCACTGTGTCAGTCCATCTTGTTGAGGGTCTTCCTCTTTTTTGCTGACCCTCTGCTTTACCAAGCGTGGTGTCCTTCTCCAGGGACTGATCCCTCCTGATAACATGTCCAAACTATGTGAGACTAAGCTCGCCATCCTTCTAAGGAGCATTCTGATTGTACTTCTTCCAAGACAGATTTGTTCATTTTTCTGGCAGTCCATGGTATATTCAGTATTCTTTGCCAGCACCTTAATTCAAAGGCATCAATTCTTCTTCAGTCTCTCTTATTCATCGTCCAGCTTTTGCATACTTATAAGGTGATTGAAAATAATCAGGCACACTTTAGTCCTCCAAGTGACATCTTTCTTTTTTTTTAACACTTTAAAGAGGTTTTTTGCAGCTGATTTGCCCAATGCAATACGTCGTTTGATTTCTTAACTGCTGCTTCTATCAGCATTGATTGTGGATCCAGATAAAATGAAATCCTTGACAACTTCAATCTTTTCTCCGTTTATCATGATGTTGCTTATTGGTTCAGTTGTGAGGATTTTTGTTTTCTTTGTGGTGAGGTGTAATCCATACTGAAGGCTGTAGTCTTTGATCTTCATGGGTAAGTGCTTCAAGTCTTCTTTGCTTTCAGCAAGCAAAGTTGGGACATCTGCATGTCACAGGTTGTTAATTCTCCTCCAATCCTGATGCCGTGTTCTTGTTCTTACAGTCCAGCTTCTCGGATTGTTTGCTTAGCATACAGATTGAATAAGTGTGGCTGAAAAGATAGACTCGTGATGCACACCTTTCCTGATTTTAAACCATGCAGTATCCCGTTGTTCTGTTCCAATGACTACCTCTTGGTCTGTGTACAGGTTTCCTGTGGGCATAATTAAGTGCTCTGAAATTCCTATTCTTAGCCGTGTTATCGTAATTTGTTATGATCCACACAGTCAAATGCCTTTACATAGTCAATAAAACACAGGTAAACATCTTTCTGGTATTCTCTGCTTTCAGCCAGGATCCATCTGACATCAGCAATGCTATCCCTCCTCTTCTGAATCTGCCTTGAATTTTGGCAGTTCCCTTTCTACGTACTGCTGTAACCGTTTTTGAATGGTCTTCAGGAAAATTTTACTTGCATGTGATATCAGTGATATTGTTTGATCATTTCTGCATTCTGTTGGATCACCATTCTTTGGAATGGGTACAGATATGGATCTCTTCCAGTCAGTTGGCCAGGTAGCTGTCTTCCAAATTTCTTGGCATAGACGAGTGAGCGCCTCCAGCATAGAATGTTTGTTGAAACATCTCAGTTGGTATCCCGTCAATTCCTGGAGCCTTGTTTTTTCCCAGTGTCTTCAGTGCAGCTTGGACTTCTTCCTTCAGTACCATCAGTTCTTGATCGTATGTTACCTCCTGAAATGGTTGAACATTGACCAATTCTTTTTGGTACAATGATTCTGTGTATTCCTTCCATCTTTTTTTTTTTTTTTAATAGTTTAAATGAAGTTTACATTTCAAGTTAGTCTCCCGTACAAAATTTTATACATACATTGTTATGTGACCCTAAATGCTCACCCCTTTCTGCGACAGCACTCTTCCTTTCCGCCCGATTCCCCATGTCCATTCAGCCAGCTCCTAACCCGCCTTCCATCTTTGATGCTTCCTGCGTCATTCAGTATTTTGCCCATAGAATCCTTCAGTATTGTAACTCAAGACTTGAATTTTTCTTTATTTCTTTCAACTTGAGAAATGCCGAGCATGTTCTTCCCTTTTGGTTTTCTAACTCCAGGTCTTTACATGTTGCATTATAATACTTTACTTGTCTACTCGCTCTTTGAAATCTTCTCTTCATCTGTTTTACATCATTTCTGTCATTCGCTTTAGCTATTCTGTGTTCAAGAGCAAGTTTTAGAGTCACAACTGACATCCGTTTTGGTTTTTTCTTTCTTTCCTGTCTTTTTGCTTTCTTCATGTATAATGTCCTTGATGTCATCCTACAACTCATCTGTTCTTTGATCATTAGTGTTCAGTGTCAAATCTATTTTTGCAGTGGTCTCTAAATTCAGTAGGGATATACTCAAGGTTGTACTTTGGCTTTTGTAGACTTGTGTTAATTTTCTTTAGCTTTAATTTGAACTTGCGTGTGAGCAGTTGATGGTGTGTTCCACAGTTGGCCCCTGGCCTTGTTGTGACTGGTGATACTGATCTTCTCCATCATCTTTTTCCACAGATGTAGTCAACTTGATTCCTGTATATTCCATCCAGTGAGGTCCATGTGTATAGTCGCCATTTATGTTGTTGGAAAAAAATGTATTTGCAAGGAAGAAGTCGTTGGCCTTGCAAAATTTTATCATGCTATCTCCAGCATTGTTTCTACTATCATCAAGCCCATATTTTCCAACTACCAATCCATCTTTGTTTCCAACTTTCTCATACCAATCACCAGAAATTATCAATGCATCTTGATAGTATGTTTGATCAATTTCAGACTGCAGAAGTTGATAAAAATCTTCGATTTCCTCATCTTTGGCATTAGTGGTTGGTGCGTAAATTTGAATAATAGTTGTATAACTGGTCTTCCTTGTAGGCATATGGGTATTTTCCTATCACTGACGATGAATGCAACGCCATTTCTCTTCAATTTGTCATTCCCGACGTAGTAGACGATATGATTGTCCGATTCAAAATGGCCAATACCAGCTCACTGATGTCTAGGATTTTGATGTTATGTGTTCCATTTCATTTTTGACAACTTCCAATTTTCCTAGATTCATACTTTGTACATTCCACATTCTGATTATTAATGGATGTTTGTAGCTATTTTTTCTTTTTGAGTCATGCAACATCAGCAAATGAAGGTCCTGAAAGCTTTACTCCATCCATGTTATTAAGATTGACTCTACTTTGAGGTGACAGCTCTTCCCCAGTAGTATTTTGAGTGCCTTCCAACCTGAGGGTCCCCCATCTTCCAGCACTATACCAGACAGTGTTCTGCTGCTATTCATAAGGTTTTCACTGGCCAATGTTTTAAGAAGTAGAACACCAGGTTCTTGTTTTTAGTCATGTTAGTCTGGAAGCTCTGCTGAAATCAACACTTGTCTCAGTTTGTCATATTGTGGTGGCTTGCAGGTTGCTGTGATTCGTGCTTAAAACTAGAGGGGAAATTTTAGTAAAAACTTTACATAGAAAAATACAACAAAAATTGAGGATTTAAAAATTTGTCATTTTAGGTAAATATAAACGGTATTACATGTTAATAATGATGTGGGATTTTTACCGTAGAAGTATTTTTTCTTTCTGCTAAATGTTAACACTTCAAAATAGTAATTTTTAGGAAACCAGTCCTTGATGTGCTGTGCGTACATTTTTTTAAAAAAATGCCCTTAGCTCAGTTATTTACTTCTTCTAGGCTGTCTTTTTTTATTCACAGAATTGGTAATTTGAATACATGATTGTTCAGATCTTTTCCAGGTTTCCAAATGCATACTTAACTTCTTGCTGAGTACCATCTGTCTAAGAAGGAAGCCTCTTCCTAGGATAGTCAGTAAAGAGTCATACAGTAGTGTGACTGATCCTGGTGGCTTAATCATCTCTAGTGTTGTTTGGAACTGGCCAAAAAGAATTGAAGTTGTTGAGTGGTGTTAAAATCATGTTGTCAGATAATAGCTGTAATCACATTTAAGGTCCCTGGATACTTAATATCAGATATCTAAATTACTCTGTTATCTTGTTTTCTAGAAAATGAAGGACACTCACATGGAAGATTTTTCAAAAGACAAGGAAACAAACTGCGATTTTCTACCTAGTGGAAGAATTGAAAGTACAAGAAATGGGAAGTCTCCAGTAAACAATACTGATTTTTCTAAAGAAAAAGGTATAAATGACTTCCCACTCTATTCATTTCCTGAGGGTATTGACCAAGAAGTTTTTAAGCATCTTCCAGTAGATATTCAAGAAGAAATCCTTTCTTCAAAATCCAGAGAAAAATTTCAAGGGAAAGGAAGTTTGAGTTCTCCATTACATGCTTCTGGAGGAGTATTTTCTTTCTTTTCTACAAAACAAATGCAAGATAGTCCCTCGAATCCTACAGATCAATTATCCAGTAGCAAACAAGTGTCCTCTGTCTCTCCCTGTGAACCGGGAACATCAGGCTTAAATAGCAGTAGTTCCTCTTATGTGTCTATCCAAAAGGATTACGAAGATGAACGAATGAGTCAAGGACCTAAAGAATCTCAAGGATTCCACTTTTCAAATACCACCCCTACTATATCTGTTTTCCATTCGTTTCCAGATTTGCAAAGTGAGCAACTTTTTTCCAAAAACCATACTACTGATAGCCATAAGCAACCCTCAGCAATAGCCTCTCATCACGAAGGATTTACAGAAAATAGACAGCAAAATTCTGCTGAGGAGAAAATTACCTTTCCTTCCGATATTGATCCTGAAGTTTTCTATGAACTACCAGAAGAAGTGCAAAAAGAACTGTTGGCTGAGTGGAAGACAACAGGATCCTATTTCCAACTTGTACATAAATAGGCATGTTTAGGAAAAAGAAAGGTCTAAAAAGCAAGGGAAGTGCCATTCTTAGATTAGCAGTTTGTTAACTCCTATAAATTAAACATTAATAGCTATTCAGTAAGGTAAAAATCTAGTGTAAAATGTTCCAGATAAGGCAAGAATTGTTTCAGGAAGTAAATTCCTGTGCAAAGCATAAGAATATAACAGAAGAAGTGATGTAAAATATTCTTATTTCTAAAGCTATTTTTTACTGCTTTTCAATAAAAAGAATATCATGGTCAACATTAATTCATTTTCCGTTAATGGGGAAGAAGGTATATATGCCTGATATAAAAAAAAAAGAATAGTGAAATCATTGCTATGCTGTAGCAAAGAACAATTTTTTTCTTTGAAATATGGAATAATTCAGTCCACTAGGAGACACACAAATAAGAAATCCAGCTGCCAATTAACTTGTTGAGAATGTAGATACATTTGATTCAAATACTGCATACTATTTAATAAGTTGATTTTTTAAAATAACAAAGCAATGCATGTTCAATTAGTGCTTCATAGTATACTGAGAACCTGTTACAATGCCCAGCACCCAGAGGGCACTCGGTAAATATTGAATGAATTAATTATGGAGCAGGGGCCAGGTGGGCAGTAGGTGGGGAGTAGATAGATGTTGTGTTTAAAAGAAGCTCTGCATGCAAGGAGATTAAGGGAAGTGTGGACACCAGAAATACAAGGTCATGGGCCCTTAAGAGTGCTGGGTAATTGAACCATCTAGCCAGTTTGTAGGGTCTAAAAGCAATGAAGTAGACATTTTTTGCATCTTCTCTTCATTTTTGAGGTGAGATAGTATCTCTTTGGCAAATATGCAGTTAGTAAATTAGTAAATGTCCTCGCCTGCATTGTTGCCACTGCCTTCCACTTATGCCTGCCGGGTTAAAAATTGGATGTAAGATCCGTGGCCAACAACATCAGCATCTTAATAGGAATGCAAATTCTAAAAATACCAATTCTAAGGCTTTAACATTAGAAAAACAAACTAGTTGCCCTTGAGTTGATTCCAACCCATGGTGACCCAGTGTGTTGCAGAGTAGAACTGTGCTCCATAGGATTTTTAAGGCTATGACCTTTTGGAAGCAGATTGCCAGGCTTTTTCTTCCGAGGTGCCTCTTGGTGGGTTTGGTTAATAGTTGAGTGCTTAACCCATCCAGTGCTCCACCCAGTGTCTGTTCAGACCTGCTACTGAATTAGAAACTCTGGGGCACAACAATCTGTTTTACCAAGTCCTTCAGGTTTTTCTGGTGCATGTTAAAATATGAGAATCACTGCTCTAATCCCTTCGAGGAGCCCTGGTGGCCCAGTGGTTAAGAGCCTGGCTGCTAACCAAAAGGTCAGCAGTTCAAATCTACCATCCGCTCCTTGGAAACCCTATGTGGCAGTTCTGCTCTGTCCCATAGGGTGGTTATGAGTTGGAATTGACTCCACGGCAACGGGTTTGGTTTGGTTTTTTTTTTTTTGGAATCCCTCACATAGTGTTGTCCATGGACTGGCAGCACAAGTGTCATCTGGTAGCTTGTTAGAAATGCAGAGTCTCAGGCCCCACGCAGACATGCTGATTCAGAATCTGCATTTAAACAAAATTCCAAGGTGCTACAAGTACAGAGTGAAGTTTGAGAAGCACAGCTCTAACTCAAATGTTCACAACCCCTGGCTACACATTAGAAACGTCTGAGGGACCTTCTAAAACACTGATACTTGGGCCCTAACCCAAACATTAAATCAGAATCCCTGGAGGTGGGTCCAGGCCAGTAATTTTGAAAGCTCTCTGGATAATTCTAATGTGCTTTAAGCATTTGTCCTCATAGTAAAGAGAACCACAGTGCCTTGCACACACTAGACACTCAAATATTAGTTGAATAAGTGGAATGACAATAAAATGATTGAAAGCCCTGGTAGAAGAAACACAGAAAAGCAGGCAACCTAAAATTTTCTGCCATAAAAACTGCCAGTCAGTTTCACATCTAAACCGGGTTGGAATTTACAGGGGATTCCTCATAACCATGTCCGCTAAGCCTTTGCTACTTAAAGTGTGGTCCCACCGCCATCAGCATCACCTGAAACTTGTTAGAAATGCACCATCTTGGCCCCCAACCTGCGTGGTTTCAAATAGAATCTGTAATTTATCCAGACTCCAGGTGATTTGCATGCACATTAAAGTTTGAGAAGCACCACTTCAGCCCTTTTCCCAAGGGTTGGGGACTGTTGGACTTCACCCACAACTGAGGCACAAGGGGAGCCCTGGTGGCACAGTGGATAAGAGCTCGGCTGCTAACCAAAAGATTGGCGGTTTGAATCTTACCAACTGCTGTTTGGAAACCATGGGGGCAGTTCTACTCTGTCCTATAGGGTCGCTATGAGTTGGACTAGACTCAACGGCAATAGGTTAATTTTTTCGAGGCACAAGGAGCAGGTGAAGTACTCATGCAGAGAAAAGGAGCTGTGTGCCATCTGATTATTGGAGATCTCACTGCTGAAGCAGTTACTCAGTGCCTTTGAAGGAGTGAGGGTGACTGTGGTGTAATGGATCACTTTTGTGTGGCCTTTCTTGCCATGGTCTTGTAACTCCCACCCAAGTGATTGGGTGGAACTGTGCAAATAAGGTAATTCTGGCCCACCAAGGGGATTGGTCAGTTTTGCCATCCCGCAGAGCTTGAAATGAGCCATCCCAGAGGCGGGCGGGAAAGAGGATCCTACCATCCTCAGGGAAGAACAGCCAAGAACAGAGTGTTTCCTTTGGACTTGGGATCCCTGTGCTGAGAATCTCCTGGAACCAGAAGACAGAGAGAGCTGTAACACAAAACAGCAAGAAGTGGTGGCAGAGAAACGGCAGCAGGAGACGGCTGCAGTGGGCTTCCTGGCCCACAGAGTGAGAAAGCTGAGTGCCTTTGGGCCGAAACTTACTAGCAGAGTGGGGTGCCTCTGGGCACTTACAGCAGAGCTAAAAAAGCTTTGTAACACCTGAGCAGGGCAGAGGCCAAGGGCCAGCGAGGGTCTTGCCTGTGAGCACGGCTGGGAAGAGGTCCTGATGGAAGAACTATATCCTGAGCGTTCCTAAACCTGAATTGTAACCTGTTACTTCCCTAATAAACCCCATAATCATAAGTATTGTCTGTGAGTTCTGTGTGGCCATTGCAATGAATTATCTAACCCAGCAGAAAAATAGAGAGTGCCATGGGAGGGACGGTTGGTGTCAGAATTGGTAAAGATGGCGAAGAGAGGAGGCATTGCTGACCTCCACCTCACAGGCATCAGCCTTGGGCTGTTGATCTTGATTCTCCTTCCTCTTTGTGCAGTTAGAGGAGGTCAGATGCCACCCCTACATCATTTTTACAGTGACACCTGAAGGCACTCAGCAGAGAGCCCTGTGGTTTGACCCTTTCACTACTTGCCTTTCGAGGGGCCCCTCACTGCTGGCATAAATCTGATAGGCTCCAGAGCTGAAGGAGGGAATCCAGTGACATCAGCTCCTTACCCTAGGCCTTCTTGGTCCAACTTGCTCCAGCCCTCATCACAGGAAACCTCAAAGAACTGGCCCAGTTTCCAAAAGGTCAGAAGTAAGCAAAGAAAGTTACTATTCTAATTACCCTGGACATTATATAAACACCTTACATGCTCAGTCTTTTATTCAAGATCCTCACAAATATTGACTAATGCCCATTTCGTCTTTGGGAAGCTGGTACTAAGAAACCAAGACTAGAGAAGGTGGCTTGTCTGTAAGTCAAGGGTACAGCTGAGACGTGAGCTTTTATCCCAGTTCAGTTACTTTGTTGATTATGTATATTGTTAATATCTTCCAATTTATGCCTTGATTTTTCATTTTCTTTACATGCCTTTAATAAACAGGAGTTGGTCAATTATTAAAAAAAAAAAAAAATTGATGACATCTTATAATTTGCAGGACATAGAGACTACGAGGTTATTGCTAGAATACACCAAAGTGTCCTACCCCACTGGTTCGGGGGAGAAACAAAAAAAAGTAACAGTCCAGTTCTCAAGTTTATTGCCTTTGATAAAAGACTTGATAAAAATCAATGTCAATGAATTGTACGTGTAGAAATTGGTGAGTTAGTATATGTTCTGCTGTGTATACAGGTTCCCTTGCTATCTGAAAGTAGAGCATTCCTATGAAAACTTTCGCAAGCCAAGATGGCGTAAAGTGAAGAAACAATTATCATTAATCTATATGGGAAAATATTTTGAGCGTTCCCAGACCCAAAAAATAACCTACCAAGTCATACCAAATAGCATATAAAACCCCTATGATCTCTCTTAGGCTTTTCTGATACCTTAGGACACATCTTGCTAACAGATACACAAAATAAATTGAGATAAAGCACAGATGCTCACAGACACAGTTCAAAGCTATGGCAGCTTGATGCTGAGATGCTGAGTGTAGTTTGCAGGGAGGGAGCTTGGCAGCCACTGTCACTGTGCATGCTGCCTCTTCAAATGGCTCACTACAAAACAAACGAACGCTATTTGCGCTCTTCGGATTTCTTTCAGTTACCGAAAACAGGTATTAATGTAGATCTTTTGTAATCGCGAGGTGGTGTAAAGTAAACCTTCGAAAAGCTGGGATGCCTGTATTTTCAACAACAACAAAAATAATTTAAAAAAAATAAAAAATAAAAAACACGCTTGGCCAGAGGCTATCACAATGCTAGTACTTTAAAACTCCAGGAAAACCGATTAAGAAAAAAATAACAGCCGAGAAGGAGAATGCAGTGTTTGGGGATGCAGAATTTAGGGGCAGATAGAAAGTCAAGAGCTTCTAATTAAAATCAAAATTGACTGTAAATGTAAGGCTACTTCCTCCCTTGTCTACCAGTTAATACTAAAAATAAAATGGGAAATCTAATTTATTAAAAAAAAGACTTGATAAAAATAAAGCACACAATAAACTATTGGTCTTTACTCATCTGCAGTGAAAGAGAAAGAAGGAAACCAAAGACTCAAAGAAGGACCAATTGCCTACATGACCCGCAGCCTCACCTATCCAGAGACCAGAAGAACTTGATAGTGCACGGCTACCACTACCAATTGTTCTGACTGGGGACACAATAGATGGTCCAGGATAGAGTGGGACAAAATTGTAGAACAAAATTCAAAATCTTAAAAAAAGGCCAGACTTACTGGACTGACAGAGATCTGGGGAGCTCCAGAGACTGTCACTCTGAGATACTCTTTAAACTTTGAATTGAAACTACTCTTGGAGGTCACCTTTCAAT